GGCGTGCGGCCTAGGTTATTTCTGGCAAATTCTCGAAGCCCTGTCGATGCATCCGCGGCTTCCCCCGGGCCCCGAGGCACGCTGAAGTTGCGCCCCTTGTCCTTCAAGGCGCGCCTGGCCCTGTGGACTCGCACTCGCAGCGTCTTCTTGCAGTGGAGGTTCCAGATAGCCCAGGCGTGGAGGTGGTAAGAAGACAGCGCGAGCTGGTTCATTCTAGCGCGCGGTATGCGCTGCATCTCCGAACGCACCGCGAACCTGTAGAGGTCGGTAGTTCCTGCGTGTAGTTAACCTTGTTTGCGGTCTCGGGCTCGATCACCTCTGTGACGTTGCACTCCAGTGCCTCAAAATGGCTTCGGGCGTAGATGAGTTCGTTCTCCGCCTCCCCTCGTCGCTGGATCAACGCCCTCCTGGCCTGGGTCAGCTCGAGGCGCCGTTCTAGCCTAAGCCTTTGAGACTCATCTCGGGCGTCGTCTCCCCCCGCCTGCAACTTGATGATCCTCGCCCGACGGGGAACCGAACCACCTTCGATGGACCCCATCTGGTCCGTCACCTTTCCCAGGCGGCGCAGCTCCAGTTCGAGGTTCTGACTCGCGGCCATCAAGAGCGCAACGCGCCCTCTGAGGTGATGGATATTTGGCGCCGAACCGGATGGCATCCAATCCCTTGGCGCGGACTTGGGGGGCTCGAAGCGGCCCGCGTGCTCATCGAGGGAATTGTTGCACTCGTCCACTTTACGCACCCTCGTCGCATTCTCGCCTCGGCGCTGGATGATCCCGCCACCCCGCAGCTTCATTTTCTCCTCCTTGCGCTGACCAGGTCTCGGATGAAAGACCCCCGGGGTCGGCGCCCTCCATGGGCTCTAGGTTCGCGACGTCGCTGTCGCCGCCGTCGCGGGCGATGATGCCTCGGCCCCTTTGACTAAAGGCGATCCAGGGGGCGCGGGTTCAGCGCGGTGGTGGACATGCGCCGCTCGCCACGCAGCTCCGCGTGGATCACTGCAGCTCCCACGGCGCCCAGGCCTGCGGGATTCCGAAAGCTCTCGCCTGGGCGAGTCTGCTCCAGAGTCCTCTGAAGGAAGTCCCGAGGTCTCTCGCGCACCTCACCTGCCCCCTCTTCCTCTCGAAGAAGAGAGACGCGCAGGGGTGCTTCGCAGGAGCCGCAGCTGGAGCTGAGCCTTCGGCGGATGAAGCAAAAGCCTGGCCCGTAGAGCTTCGGGGATCAGCCCAGGGGCATCGGCCGCTGCAGCCAGAAAGCCACCTGAGCTGACCTCCTTTTCGTCCGCCGGGTCATCGTATCCCTCGCAGTGGTGGAAGACGCAGAACGCGTCGTTGCCGTCGAAAGCAACCTGCTCACCATGCTCTTCTTCTGAAACTGGCGGGCCGTCGAGTCGATGGGCCAGGGGCCCAGGCGCTCGCTCCTCGGGCGGCATGGCCCCGCCGGCAGGGGGGGTCCCGGCCACGAAACCAAAAGCGCAAGGTGCAGACGGCGATGCATCGCGACGCGCTGACGCACCCCTTGCACGATGAGGGCAATAGAAGAAATCGCGCGCCAAAAGAGCTGAATTGGCAGAAAGCCGGGTAGAGGGGGTGGAACGCTTCGGAAGGGCAAGGGGAGACGCGCGGGAAGATGCAGTGTTCGGCGGGGGAATATGATTCAAAATATATGGCCTCGGATTGCGCTTCCCGGCGGCCAGCCGACAAGTTTCCCCCGTTCCATTTCCTCTCCTTCTCTGGCAATGCGTAACTTGGCCGCCTGCATAAAACGTAGGAGAGGTTGCATATTCCCTTTTAACTCTGCCAGACCGTCCGCGGGTGTCAGTTCGCGTGGAAACCAGCGACGCTGACCACCGAAGTTCTCCAAGGAACCCCGGATCGCAGCAGCCCCCGGGGCCGCTCGCTTCTCGGTCGAGGCGAACTGTTCCCGATTCATGCAATCGGACAGAAATTTCGCCTCGGTGATGGCGATGATGTCCAGGTCGGGGTTTTGCTCCACGATCGTCGTGAACCGGATTTCTCGGTTCGTGGCGCGTCGGTCTCGGAGTTCGCCTCGGTAATCCTTCGCAATAGAAACCCACGCGGTAACCCATTCGGCCCAAGCCAAACCCTCGGACAAGGCGTTGGCCTCCACCGCCAGGGTAGAGCTCCCAGCGCGCTCAATCTTATGGGAATGCCACGCGAGAATACTGGCATCGTCTTCCTTTCCCTACAAGAGGCCCTTATCTGGCGCACAAATCACGTCGCCTGTCCGAGAGCGACATTACCCCGCGCCCTCGGCGCCCATGCCCGAATCGCACAGAGCGACCAGGCGGAGACGAGAAAAGGGCATGGATTTGATGGCGATCGTGGCATTGGCGTCCTCGAGGCGCCGCAGTGCGGCATTTGCCTCGATGAGATCTTTCACCTCGGAGTTGAGCAGAGTGCTTCTCTGGAGAGATGCGTCCCCCGAGCCGCTGGGCATAGCTTCGCGCATAGCTGCGATCTCCTCTGGCGCGGCTGGTAGCCCAAGGATCTTGCGCCGTCCGCGTGGGAGACTAATGGGCCGAGCTCGTTCTGCAAGATACCGCGCCATAGAGATGGTAAAATCGGACTATCTGCGTCGTCGCAGAGTGCGCCCGCCGCGCTCAGTATCGCCCTCCACGAGTTCAATCCATTTTCCGAATTTGCGCCGCTTGCGAAAGCGAGAAGTGACATCGACAAATATATCTCAAATGCCGCCTCCCAACAAATCATCTGTTTCGACGACAACGAATCCTGAACATTGCTCTGGGCGTCCGTCAACAGTCTCGTACATGAGCGCGACGCAGGGCGCCAGAGGATGGCGAGTAAAGCCATACTCCTTGAACGCTGTCAAGAGGCTCCTGCGCCAGCCTGGAGGGCCGGCGACGAGTCCATGAACTTCTGTCAGCACTTCGACCACGAGCAGTTCGTTGGGATCTTCACCAGGAATGCCTCCTGCGGAGGGCGAGGCCAAAAGAGGTTTTCCCCGCTGATTTCGGAATCCCTTAGTAAAAGCAAACTTAACGTCGCCGACCCAAGCCGCAGCCTTGATAGAGGACAGACAGTGTAGAGCAAGAGGTACGTCTGCTGTTGAGGGCGTAGGCACAACGCGATTCAACACAGCAATGTCGGGATCATGAAGTCCTTGGATACGCATCTCGACTCAGCATCGTAATTCTTTGGGGCAACAACATCATAGAGCTTGTCGTCGTAGTCGGCTCCCGCACTTTCCGTTTGTCGTGCCAAACATGATACGTTTAGCGGCCGTTCCTCGGTGAATGCTGTGACGGCTGCCGGCGGGTCAGAGAAACCGCTGTTTAAGATGGCCAGGTAGCGGGTTGGTGTTAATTTCGTCCTCAGCCCGCTTCTTCTTGATGAAGAATGATCTTGGGCTGTTGAGGTAGGCTGATTATGGTTGATGAGCTGTGTAGATGTTGTCCAAGTCGGGAGTCCTGTGCGCTCCCAACAAATCATCTACTACCACATAATGACTGCTGTCCATGTAGTAGGTCACCAATTAACCTGCGGAGTCCGCAGACGGAAAATCAGGTGCAATCGTAGTTGGCGCTGGTGGCGGTGAATACGAAGCCGCATTTGCGGGCCAGGGCGTACCTGTGCCTCGCGCAGCTGCGCTGGAGGTTCCCTCTGGTGCCAACCTCCGTACCTGGTGGCACTGGCCTGGTGGAAGGGAGCCTGCGCGCTGGGGAACGTCAGAACGATGAGACCAGGCGCCGTGAGGACCAGCAAGGCAAACACAGCATATGGTAGGCGGCGGGGAGCACCACAATGTTTGCACACAGGGGCGCATCGACACGCTGGGCACTTCCAGCGCGGAGCCGCCTCCAGACCTCCCCCACCATGATTGGAATGACCGTAGTTGCTGGAATTGCCACGGCGCCGATGACGGTTCCCAGGTCGATTGCAAAGAAGACGAGCCTCGAGTGCCATTGCCTGCAGCGCTATTGCGAACCATTAACGGTTGAATGGCGAACCACTTGGCTCGCAGACCCCCTGCCGCTCTGAAACGCGTGCCTGCAATGTCAACATCGTTTGGCGCAGAACGGCTAGAAGGGGAGATAACAACGACGGGGCTAGGGGGCCTGGGGGGGTTTGACCATGCTTGTGTATCCATGAAGGTATAAATGTAAAGCGAGAGAGAAAGAGAGAGAGAGAGAGAGAAAGACAAAGAAAGAAGAGAGAGAGAGAGAGACATATACATATACATATATATATATATATACACACGTAGAGAGAGAGAGAGAGGGAAAGAGAGAACAAACCAAGAACGCGCCCTTCTCCGACAATTCCTCTGCCTGCCGACCTGACCATTCACCATGCAGCTCCCCGCGCCCCAATCGTTCTGCCCTCCCAGGACCAGACGAGACGCTCAGCCGTCTCTTCCGTCTCTGATCTCTCTTGGGGGATGGCTAATTACTTGGGGGGTAGCGAAGGAGAGCAGCCACGGGGTAGCATGTACTCATCAATGGTCTGCTCCTGCTGCTGGCGCTACCTCATGCAACCCCCTCCTCAATATGTCCTGCCTCCACTGCCACCTCCTTGCCTTCTCTCGCCGTCGTCCCCCGTATGACCCTGCCTTGCCGTGCTCCTGCAACTGCGTATCCTCCTCCTCGTGCTTCTGCACCTCCTCCTCCTCCTCCTCCTCCTCCTCCTCCTCTTCCTCCTCCCTGTTTCTCCCCATGTCCACCAAATCCTCCTCCTCCTCCTCTCGGTACGCCTTCTACGCATCCTCCTCGTCTCTTCATCTCCTCGTTTTTTCCTCGCACTCCGCTATACAGTCAAGCTACTACCATGAGGAACACTGAACGAGGAACGAACCACCTCTGTTGCCCCACAGCACAAGTGCCTGGGTGTACGAGGAGCGCTAGAGGAACACCTGTGGAAGGTCCTCAGGAACAGGAAACCCCTTCCGAGCCCGAAGTGTTCCTTATGTCCGCGTCTTGACTGCACAGCAAGTCGCCTCTCCCTGGACGCTGGCCCTGTCGCCTTGTGGAAATTGAAGATCAAGTCTAGCTCGCACACGTTGCCAAAGTAGCGGTCCTGTTCTGCCCCTGGCCACTGCCTCCTTTGTCCTCGTCGTCACCGTACTCATTCGATCCTTTCCCTATTCCTCCCAATGCAAGGGTCCTGAGAAAACTAGTGCTGGACCCAAAGCTTTCCCTGAACCTCGCGGCTCGTTGCTCGATAGTGACCATGGGCAATCGCCCCCAGACCTGCCCTGTGGTGCGTTTTGGCTAGAACTTCCAAAAAGAATCCAGCCGTGGCGGTGAAAAGCCTCGTGGTTGGCCCACAACGGGCCGGAAACAGTTAGAACCCTCTATCCTCGATCCTCCTCCTCCTCCTCCTTCTCCTCCTCCTCCTCCTCCTCCTCTCTGCCGTCCTTCCCTCTCTCCGACCTCGCATTTTTTCCCGACCATCCTGTGGTGTTGGGTCCTCGTTTCAAAGAGACAGCGCCCCGCGTCTCCTCCTCCTCCTCCTCCTCCTCCTCCTGCTCCTCCTCCTCCTCCTCCTTCCTCTTCCCACTCCTCCGGCACAGTCCGCATGGCGACGCCGCCCCATTTTGGCACACCCCTCACACGTTTCGGGGCCCCATACGGAGCTCCACCTAAGGTCCCAAGGGCGCAATCCGCACGGCGGCGCCGCCCCATTTTGGCACACCCCTCACACGTTTCGGGGCCCCATACGGAGCTCCACATAAGGTCCCAGTGGCGAAGTCCGCATGGCGGCGCCGCCCCATTTTGGCACACCCCTCACACGTTTCGGGGCCCCATACGGAGCTCCACCTAAGGTGCCAAGGGCGCAATCCGCATAGCGGCGCCGCCCCATTTTGGCATACCCCTCACACGTTCTGTGGCCCCATAGGGAGCTCCACCTAAGGTCCCAGTGGCGCAATCCGCATGGCGGCACCGCCCCATTTTGGCACACCCCTCACACGTTCCGTGACACCATAGGGAGCTCCACCTAAGGTCCCAAGGGCGCAATCCGCATGGCGGCGCCGCCCCATTTTGGCACACCCCTCACACGTTTCGGGGCCCCATAGGGAGCTCCACTTAAGGTCCCAGTGGCGCAGTCTGCATGGCGGCGCCGCCCCATTTTGGCACACCCCTCACACGTTTCGGGCCCCCATACGGAGCTCCACCCTGCCCCCTTTCGGCACGCTCTTCACGCGCTTCGTGGCCACGTAAGGAGATCCACAGAAGGCGATACTAACAACGACGGTCTTCACAACTGCATATGGTGGGGTCCTTCGCCAAACTAATAGTTTTACATCGTGGATCCCCAGAGGTCTCGACCACTGTCCGGGGAGATGGTTTTTCGTACTGAATCGTGTCTTGACGATCCCCGGGCTGGGGAACGGCCTTCAGAAGCCAAAACAGTAGGAAAACTGGACGTCGCGATGTTTTCGGCGACGCCCAGATCTGAGAGTCTCCTCACTCAGAACGGACGAAACGGGGGAATAGCAAGGGGGGTCATCGAATGAGCTGCATGCAGCTGCCTTCTCTGGCGCCTCCTGGCGCCAATGGCACCTATCCGTCGAACAATCTTTCTGGCTGCGGAGCCGAAACCAGCTGCATGCAAGCCGGTTTTGCACAGGAGATCTGGAAATTACTCTGGCGACGTACCCAACCCCTGCGCAATGCAGGGCGCGAGTAGCTTGGGACACGTTGTACAAAGGTGATGACGTGACATGGGTGCATATAATTCTGCGAGCGGCATTCGTGAGGCTCGCAGCCCCCCAGGGATGGCGAGGTCCCGCTCCGCTGGGCCCACCAGCAGCCCTCGCACATGGCGACAGGGACGGCGAGGTCTCGCTCAGATCCGCGCGGTGCCTCACTCCGCTGGACCCACCAGCAGCCCTCGACAGTGGGACAGTTTCGCAGATCGCAACCCCCCAGGGACGGCGAGGTCTCGCTCAGATCCGCGCGGTGCCTCACTCCGCTGGACCCACCAGCAGCCCTTTGAAAGTGGCGACAGCTTCGCAGATCGCAGCCCCCCAGGGACGGCGAGGTCTCGCTCAGATCCGCGCGGTGCCTCACTCCGCTGGACCCACCAGCAGCTCTCGAAAATGGCGACAGTTTCGCAGATCGCAGCCCACCCCCAGTGACGGCGAGGTCGGAGACAGACACCGCAGGCAAGATACCTACACAAGAGGTGCGCGCGAGGCGAGAGGAGACAACCATGAGGCGGGAGGCGGGAGGAGAAGGAGAGGAACGAGTGGCGACCGCAGAGCTCTATTCAAAACGAATACCCAACCAAGGAAGGTTGGGAAAAAGAAGTTCCATGAGAGCGAAAATGGCCAAGGCCAGAAAAAACTGGCAAGGGCCGAATTGAGCCCGAGACAGCCGGGACAAGGTCGCCTGGGCCGGGAGAACGGAGGGAAACTGGCCAGGGCGGGACAGAGCTTGAGAAGGGGATCGACAACAGAATTGATTGTCTCCAAAATCTATGTCCTTCGACTATATGCTCTACGGAGCATTCGACGTATTTCGTAGACTCGACGAGCAAAGAAATTCTGGGGATAATCAATTCCGTAGTCGATCGCCTACTCGGAGTGCAGGGGCTAGCCCTGGCCACGACAGATGTTCGGAAGCTGCTGAGGCCGAGCATGTGTCATACGTGCGCACGTCCGTGCAGCAATACACGTGAGGGTTGTGCTATTTTTGTTGATGTCCTCCGACGCACGTTTTTCTGGGTGTTGCATGGTAAGCGTTTTTTTATCCGAATTGCGGCATCTGGCCGAAGGGTGGGGGAGTGGGGGAGATTGGCTTGGGACGGTGTTTAATCGATCTGCTTTTGCCAGTCGCGCAAGCAGACTATGGGGGTGGGGGGGCTGACCAGTCGCCCAAAGCAGCCGCCCGAAGTAGCCACGATCTGGTCTATTGGGGGGGAGGTGGGGGGCGGGGGCCCGCGCCGACAAGCGAAACAGTACATAACAAATGAAGGGCGCCTAACTTCGCGCTTCGCGCTGCGCGAACAACTTCGCCGTTCGCGCTCTCGCTCGCCGCCCCCCACGAGAGAAGAGGAGGACGAGGAGGAATCGGGTCCGAATCGCGACGCGCGAATGACTCCGCGCCCTCGAAGGCGCCCTTGTTTTCTTGGTTTTGTGGCATGAACCGCTGCTGTTCCGATCCGGCTTTCGCTCGCCCTGTGCCCCCCTCGTGCTCCAAATCCCCCCTGCTCGCCCGACCCCATCCCCGCCGCGCCCGCTACTGCCACCCCACCGACCGTTCTCGCCCCTCCTGCTCGTCCTCCTCCTCCTCCTCCTCCTCCTCCTTCTTCCTCCTCCTTCCTCCTCCTCCTCCTCCTCCTTCCTCTTCCTTCCTTCCTCCTCCTCCTCCTCCTCCTCCTCCTCCTCTTTCTCCTCTTCCTCCTCCTCCTCCTCTTCCTTCCTCCTCCTCCTCCTCTTCCTCCTCCTCCTCCTTCCTCTTCCTTCCTCCTCCTCTTCCTCCTCTTTCTCCTCCTCCTCCTCCTCCTTTCTCCTCTTCTCCTCTTTCTCCTCATTCTCTTCTTTCTCCTCTTTCTCCTCTTCTTCCTCCTCCTCCTCCTCCTCTTTCTCCTCCTCCTCCTCCTCCTCCTTCTCCTCCTCCTCCTCATATGTCACTATGTCAGATCGGCATCTGGATCCGCTTGGAAAAACATCTGCATAAACCGTGTTCGGTCTACAAAGTCACCCGCAATGCGTGTATATACTATTCCGGGATGTGTGTATATATTGATCTGGAATACGGGTGCATATTGATCCGGAACTCGGGTCGTGCAAAATCCGAAGACCCTGTCGGCATGTGTGAAGGCTTTTTCCGTTCGGTTCGTCGTCGCCGTCAATCGCTCGTCGTCGTCTCTGTCGTCCTGTTTCTCTGCGCTTTCCTTTCCCTGTGCTCGTCGCCGCTCGTCTGTCCTTTCCTGGGCTCTCCTCCTCAAGCGCGTCGGCCAAAGCGCAACGTCGTCGGGAAGTCGAAGGGAAGCCCCTTGCCTTTGATCCCTCCCCCGCGGGGAGGGGGATGAGCCCTGGGCCCGGGCCCGGGTCCGGACCCGGGGGAAAAGAGGGGGGGTCCCCGGGCCTGGGGGGGTCCCGGGTCAGATGCGCTTACCCTCCCCCTCCTGGGTTCCCTGGCCGCAAAGAAGCCTCAAAATGGGTCAAGGGTGCCCCAGAAGCTCCCAAAGACAGTCAGTCGCCGAACGATCTGCCCAAGACGCCTGGACGGCCTCCAGAAGGCCCAAGAATACTGCCCGACGCCCAAAGAGGCCCCCAGGAGCAGTCAAGAATGCCTCAATAACAAAAGCTGTAGATTTTCCATAGGTCTTCGAATGATTCCGGCGTTCTCGCCTCTCCCGCCTCCCGACGCGGCCTCCCAGGTCGCTCCCAGACAGCCCCAAGGGCTCCACGAGCGACCCAAACAAAACGGCCCAAAAGAGTCCCAAGAGGGCCCAAGACGCTTCCAGAAGTGCCCCAGAGGCCCCCCAAACGGTTCCAAGACGGCGCCGAGACGACGGGCCAAAACGAACATTTCGAGCCGTCCGCCCCGAATGCTCCCAGGACAGGCCAAGATGCCCCCCAAAGGACCCCAAGAAACCCCGAAAAGACCCCGAGATGCTCCCGAGAGGCCCCCGGGAAGCTCCAATAGGCCCCCAAAAGGCTCCCAAGAGAACCCTACTCTGTCCCCCGAGGCCCCTAAGAGCGTTTCGACCAGACCCCAAGAAGCATCCCTGAGGACTCTGACCCACGTCGGCGTCGTCGTCGTCGGCAGCCCGACGGTGTATACACGATAAAGCGGCTGCCGCGCTGCCCTTCGTCTTGGTGGCGACACACCACCCCCATCCTGGTAGATTGCGAATCCATGGCGACTCCTCCACCATCCAATTCCTCATCCCTCCTCCTCCTAATTACCTTCCCTCCTCCCTCCTTGTCCCCTTCCCCTTCACCTCCTCCGTCCCCCTCTCCGCTCCTCCCTCCCATTCCTTAGCTATTTGAATATTTTCATCGTCGCTGTCTTCGTCGTCGTCCCCCTTCAAGGTCAGCGGCGCTGGCCGCAAAGCCTTCGCAATCGTTGCGCATACTGATCTGGAACACCTATATAATGATCCGGAATACGGTGTATACGGATCCAACATTTGGTTCGCGTAGAACGTTTGCAGGCAATGGCCCAGAACAACTATACTTGTTGTTTTGAGTAAACAATTTTGAAATAACTCTGCGTGCGCACAAACATGATGTCCGTTTCCGTTTGAGTATTGCAATAGTATGAAGTGAAACTACCCGCATACAATATCTAAACACACATTTGTGATACGAAAACATACTAAACAACTTCGGCATGATGGGAACTGGTACGGCGCAATACCTTTCAGAAGATATGCATGGAATAACGTTCGCAAACCGTTGGAAACGTAACGACACCGACCGTCACGTTGTTTTTGTGTGGTATGCTCAGCCCAAACATATTACTGTCCCTGCCCCTCCCTCCAGCCTGCTCCCTCCGTCCCTTACTGTTCCGTCCCCGTCTTCCTCCCATGGTCCTTCCAGCCTTCTGTCGCAATTTAGATACTGTCCAAAACTAACGCGTCCTCGAACATCTTAGCCTCTCCCCAAAACCTCTGCCTCGCCAAAGAACGTCGGCCTCCCCTCGCAGCCTCAACCACCTTGCTTGCGACAGGAGTCCCGCGAACAAAACTCAAAATTCGAACTCGCTCGGGACAACCCCAACGAGCCCTCATGTTGGACTTCCGCCTGGGCGACCTGGAAACGTGAAAACAAGCGTTTCGATTGAGACATCCTCGCGTTAGAAATCCGCTTGGGCGACCTGGACACGTAAAAACAAGCACTTCGCTTGCGACATCCACAACACATCCTCATGTTGGAGATCCGCCTGGGCGACATGGACGCGTGAAAATAAACGCTTCGCTTGGGATATCCTCGACACATCTTCAGAATGGAGATCCGCATGGGCGACCTGGAAACATGAAACCACACGCTTCGCTAGCGGCATCCTCAACGCATCTTCATCCTAGATATCTGCCTGGGCGACCTCGGCACGTGAAAACAACCGTTTCACTCGAATCACAAACCATGCTAGAAACTTGCATGGACCGCTTGGTAAGTGAGTCCAAGCGTTTCGCTTGATTGACCCTGATCACATCCTAATGTTAGATGCCAGTTTGTAGAAACATACGTATATATTACAAACAATGTGATAAGACCGTGCGTGAACACCCAAATTGTGAAGACCAAACTAACAGAACATGCATAAAACGCAACATGTGTGAGACCAACCTAAGCTGGCTTGCTTGATTGCGCCTTGATTCCGCCTGGTTTCGGCCCGGTTTCGCCTGAGAGTCGGAATGCCACCAGCCCTCTGGGCGCAGGTGTTCTAACGATGCAATTCTCCCTCATCCAAAAACCCGTCTTCCCCTTCGGGGAAGAGCTTCCCCCTCCCCCATGCCCCCTCCCCTGGACCTGGACGGGAGGGGCCGCGATCAGTTGGAGGTTCCTTTCGAGGATCGTGGCCCCCGAAGGGGGGGCATCGATCGGGATCTTCCCTCCTTTGATCGATAGCCTCGAAGATGGCCCCAAGAGGCGCTCCAGGGCTCCCAAGAGAGCCCCAAGAGAGCCCCAAGATGGACCCAAGAGGGCCCCAAGAGGCACCCGAGAGACCTCCGAGCGGTCTCAGAAAACCCCAAATGACCTCTAAGATGGCTCATAGCCCGAGCTGGCTCAAGATGGCTCCCAATATGCCCCACACGGCCCCAAGACCGCTCCAAGAGCGCCCGAAAGCGCTCCAAGAGAACCCCAAGAAACGATTCGCCGTGCTCCTGAGAGGGGGAGCTGAGTCGGGGACCCCTCCATCCTGTAATCGATGGCCTTCAAGATGATCCCAAGAAGCCTTCCAAGCTTACCAAGACGGTTCCCAAAAAACGGCCCCCCAAACTCCCAGAGAACACCAGCGGCAGCATCAACAGCAGCAAAAATACATCTAGATGATTTCATGAGTCCTGGTCCGTTTCGTCCTCATCTTAATCCTCGTCCTCCTCGTCCTCGCCCTCATCCACGTTCTCGTCCTCCTCGTCCTCCTCGCCCTCCTCGTCTTCTTCTTCCTCCTCCTCCTCCTCCTCCTCCCCCTCTTCCCCTCGCCCCCGCGCGGCGCCCAGGGATGGCCCGAAGAGGCCTTCCAAGGCCACCCCCTTGCTCGCTTTGTTTCCCTAGATGTGTCTCTTCGTCCCTCCTTTTCCAGTCACCTCTGAAGGGCAGGGTTTCTGAATGGGCTGGTGGGGATTTTGAATATGCAGGCGCGCGAATCAAGTCGAACGCCGACCGCGCCAGGGCGGGCCGCGCCATAGGAATGGAAAAAACGGCGAAGCAAACTACGCCGCCACAGAGCGGAGCAGACCGAAGCGCAGCCAAAATGGCGCGGGAGGCACCTCGCGGGCACCGCGAGAACGCCCACAATAATGCCGATAAGGACGCTGGTGTAGAAAGGGCGAGAAACCGCCCACATGACCAAGGAAATCGAGCCCAGTGGCCCAAGGCGGCGACAACCAAGGGAAAAATATATACGGGCCAACAATTCCCCATGTACCTTGCCGAACACGAAATACAAAACCAACTAGAACTCCACGTGGAACAGCAGGCCGTAATAATGACAGCGCCTCCACGACGGGCACTAACGGCGAGGCGAAGCAACCGTGGAGGTAAACGGCCTCCAGGTACCGCGTGAACGCGAAGATGTGGGCCGTCGCTTAGGAGACGAGCAACGCGAGGAAGAAGCGGAGGACGGTCGGGCCGCGGCCGCTCCAGGAGCTTTGGTTTCGCGGAGGACGGTGGGGATATGCGAAGCGTGAAAAATTACTTGGTTTCGCATGGCTTCGGCGCGGTTTCGCTTGGGGCGCCCTCCCGATGTGCGCGGCTTGCCCTGGTCAGGGCGCGGTTTCGCCTGAGACGCCCGCGCAATGTGCCTGGTTTGGCCCTGGTTTGGGCGAGGTTTCGCCTGACATAGTTGGGGGTGACTTCGGCGCGCCCTGGGTCATGCGTCGCTGGCGGGGCCCTTGCGTCACCCCTGCTTCGAACTGGCACGCTGCGCCCGCATCAACAAAAATATCTGCGATGTGCTGGGTCTCTGGCGCGGGCGCCCGACTGCACCTTGCACGCGCCGCTTGCCCTCCTCGTCAGCCGCCCTCCCCCTCGCCCTGCAGGAGGTCCACCGAAAGTCCCCATGATCGTGCCTGCGCGCGCCCGCCACGCCCATGTCGGCACACCCGCCGCGCGCTTCGCGGCCCTCTGGGGAGCTCAGCCGCAGGTCCAGCGGGCGTGCCCGCGTGCGTTCTCTGCGCCAATTTAGGCACACCCCTCGCACGCTTCGTGGCCTCATTGGGAACTCTACCGAATGCCCCAATGGCGCCAGTCTGCAGGCGCCCCCCTCGCCCGTTGCGACGCACCCCTCGCGCGTTTGGCCCCGCCGAAGGCCCCCGCGGCGCAGTCCGCATGCGCCCCTCTTGCCGACTTCGGCAACCCCTTCAATCGTTTCGCGGCCCCACAAGGAGTTCCGCCGAAGGTCCGAGCGGGCGCCCCCGCGCGCGTCCGCCGCGCTCTTTTCGGCGCGCCCCTCGCGCTCTTTGCGGCCCCGCGCGGGAGCTCCACCGAAAAGGGTTCTCACAACTGCGCCACTCACAACTGCGCATGGCTAGGCCCTTCGCCAGGATAGCTGTTTATCGGAGTGATACATGTCTGCCCTGATTCACCCTTCGCTGACATCGCTCAGCGGCTCGTTATTCCCCCGCTCGTCTGCCCCGCCGACGTATCGGGACAACGCCGCCCCCCCCCTTCCCATGCAAATTGCCCGTCGTGGCGCCGTGCAGAACTTCCACGGTTTTGCACAGGTTGTCCTGCAGCACCATCCGATCCAGCACCAGCGCGCAAATTTCTCCACCAGCGAACGCTAAGTGGACCCCTTCCAGCCCCTCGATGATCAGGT